TATGTAAATATACACATATATATATATATATATATATATATATATATATATATATATATATATATATATATATATAAAATAATAGGCATATATATAAAATCCTACAATGCGCTTCTGTCTATCCTGAGGGACGCTGGGGAGAATCCGCTCGCCTCGCATAGTAACGTCTGTTCAGTCCTTCAGACACAATGATAGAGGTGCTGTGGCTGCGGATGGACATTAAAGCAATGCAGAAGAGCCATCATCAGCATCAGGCGAGGGTTAACGTTACCGCAGAGCCCTGACTCGGTGCCCCAACCCGGAAATCTGAGGAGCACATTGGCTGTCCAGCACTGTAGAGACTCATTTCCGCGAATCGGCTCTTTCGAACAGCTCGATTCAAAGAACCAGTTCGAAACGATTCAGCGATTCTTCTACGCCACCACGCGGTGCTTAGATCACAAAAATATGCGTTTACAGTAAACCATACTAAGGTTTTCATCCCTCAGTTGAAAATGTTTTGCGATATTTATTCTAAACAACTCTATTTCGAATGTGTGTTGATAAAGCTGTCTTACAACTAAGCGGCAAACCCATTTCAAATGCATTTGATCTGCAGTATTTCCGCTGCTATTGAAATGTCTACTGTTTTAGGCTCGCTGTGAGTCAAATATGTCCAAAGGGCGGCTGTCAGTTCAGTGAGTCGGGCAGTTGTTGATTCCAGAACCGCTCGATCCGCCAACGCCATCGCTCGTCCGTTTTGATGATGCTATTGAAATGTCTACTGTTTTAGGCTCGCTGTGAGTCAAATATGTCCAAAGGGCGGCTGTCAGTTCAGTGAGTCGGGCAGTTGTTGATTCCAGAACCGCTCGATCCGCCAAACGCATCGCTCAGTCCGTTTGATGACTCGGTTGAAAAGAGCCGACTCAAGTGAACGAGTCGCTCGGGAATCGGACAGCACTGCAGCACGCTGAGGTTCACGCTACTGTTACAATCACGAGATACATTATAAGGAATTGACGCAGGCAGGCGGCATGTTATATCAAATGTTAACACGACCAAGCGTTCGTTGCGCGGCGTGTGTTTTGTATTGAAAAGCCCAGTGCGGATACCTGGCATCCTATTCCCTTTATCCGGATTTTGATCTATTAAAGTATGACATCCATCAGCCAACATAAGCGAGACACAGCGTGTGCTGGTGCTACGGGAAGAACCGGTAAATGCATCTTTAGCGGGCAGCTGCGATCATGACATGCAGGAGACTCCGGAAATGGACAGTGGTTAAAATATTTGAAGTGTAGGTGTCTGTGTTCCGGGAAATACCTCGATTTCGGTCTCCGCGGTCACAATAACCTGTGTGTTATGGCAGAAGGGGAACCTGTCCCGTACGATCCCACCTTGATCGGCTCAAGCGAAACCTCCGCCTGCGCTGATACACGCGGCTTCTCCTCCTAGACTTTGCTCCCGTTTATTTCATTTTTCAGGCTTATCTGCTATCGCTTCATTGTAACGATGGCTTGTAGCGCTGGTAATTCCAGTGACCTTATAATTGTCTCGCTTCGGCCCGCCTCCTCTCTATTCGCCGGCGCTGTGTGTGTACAGTGATTGACAGCTCTTTGAACCAATCGCGTTCTCGGAGCGCTGCCGTTTCGCTCAGGAAAGGCGGGGCTTAAGTCCTGTCAAGGAAATGTGGCCCAGCCAGAGACTCATCAGAGCAGTTTCCACCCGGTAGCAGCTCCGCAGGACCATGAGGCATGATGGAGGAGAAGGAGGGCTATTGTCAGATAACTGCCCATCTGCTGGCCATTGTAAAGGCAAAAGCAGCTGTTTGTGCAAATTAAAATTATATAATGTAGATGGCAATTCAAACGTGTTAAGAGGCAGGCCTTTTATTTTATTTTATTTTTTTTTACTTCAAATAAATGCATTTGAAATGATATGGAGACAAGGATGGTTTATTTATTTTAAATGATTGAATTTGTCTTCCGGGAGCATTCAGACACTGCTCATAAAAACTTTGAGCCGGATTATTAAAGATGCAAAATCAATTTGACCATATTTTCCTTTCTTAATATGTGTTCCTGTTTTTTTTTTTTTTTTTTTATTGTGCACAGCCAGTACCAATTACTGTACCTAAAAATAATGCATTCTAATAATCTTTCATCTAAATGTAATTACCAGCCGCTTAAACAACTTACCTTTTTGGCTGACTTCACAAATGCCTCTTATTTTTCAATGCCCCGTAAATGAGTTGCTGACAGCATTTTTGTTGACATGCTTTTGCCTAACAAATTACTTTTCAACGAATCTATTCATGCTCACAATTATTTTCTGGTTCATTCATTTCGTATATCCACTTCATCTCGGATATCATGTTAGATAATATTTTACAACTGCCAGTTAACGAGGCTAATTTGCTATCAGTGTAGCAGATGATTTTATCATTGCCATCCAAAAATATTGAAACACAGTCCATAATTCGCCATCATAACTTTCATAAAGTGTGTTTCGTTCAACTTTAACACAGTTGGATCAGTTTTTGTAACACAAAACATTTGAGCAACCACACAAATGTTGCATATAATGTACTACATTTTATGTAGTTAGACAATAACAAACTGAAATTGGAAATCAACAGTAACACATAGTTCAATCAATTTGCCATAGGACTTGTTTGAAGGAATAGTTCCCCCCATGAACAAACACTGTATAACTATTTACACTGTTCCAAACTTTAATGACTGACTGACTTCAGTGCAACACAAAATAAGATGTTTTGAAGAATGTTCACGCTGCTCTTTGACATACAGTGCGAATGGGCTGTACAAGTCTAAAGAGTTGTGTTGATATTGTTCAAAGTTTCATCTCAGGTTCCGTCAGTCATACAGGTTTTGAAACAACATGAAGGTTAGGAAATGATGACGGAAATGTAATTTTTGAGTGAACTGTTCCTTTAATTCACCAGACCTGGATGACAAGTTTATGGGCGTAGACACATTTTTCATACACAATCTCTCATGAACAATAACACCTTGCTTTTTGCACAAACACAATTCTTCAAAAGGCAATTCTTCTCAAAATGTTGACAGAAGCCTTTCCATTTCTTTGAAGGTTTATACGTATCATGAACTCAAGAGTTAAAGGAATAGTTCACGCTAAAATTTGGTTAAAATGTACTCACCCTCAAGCCATCCAAGATGAGTTTGTTTCTTCATCAGATTTGGAGAAATGTAGCATTACTTGTAGCATCACTTGCTCACCAGTGGATCCTCTGCAGTGAATGGGTGCCGTCAGAAGTGAAAAGCTGCATGTTTGTAAGAAACAAATCCAGCATTAAGAACCTTAAACTGTCGCTTCTGGACAAAATATGATTTCATTATCCATAATAATGCTTCCTCCAGGGAAAAAGTCTATTCTCTGTTGTCAAAATCCACCTGCATATTTGTTTAGAACAGTTTTTTGCTTGTAAAAGGTGCTTGATCTGTGCATATTTCTCTCCTGATTCAGACGAGACGACTTTTTCACTGGAGAAAGCAGTATTATGGATTAAGGACTGGTATTATAGCCAGAAACAATGCTTTGAAGTTAAAAACTTCTTATTGATTTCATTTCTTATAAACACACAGGTTTTCACTTCACAAGACGTTAACTGATGGACTGGAGTGGTGTGGATTATTGTGATGTTTTTAATCAGCTGTTTGGACTCTCATTCTGACGGCACCCATTCACTGCAGAGGACCCACTGGTGAGCAACTGATGTAATGCTACAGTTCTCCAAATCTGTTCCCATGAAGAAACAAACTCATCTACAGTTTGGATGTCCTGAGGGTGAGTACATTTTTAGCTGATCTATTCCTTTTAAGTATGCTAATTGTACTGAAACTTCTAAATTTGTCTCATCTACCACATCAGCATGAAGAAAGCAACACTAACTGGCGTATTTGCTACAAAGACATAAAACTAATTCATATTAATATGCCTTCCAGTTACTCGATCTCCTCTCATGAAGCTCAGTCAGTCGTCCAACTCGAGGCCAAAGTGACTGTACAAGTCCCGTGTGGTCACTCCACGCAAGCCGGCTGCAAGAGACAGAGAGACAGTTGTCTTGTCAGTGGTCACATGGGGGACAATGACGTAGCACAGACCCCCTCTGGCCCTCAGACCAGCTGAAGTCACAGTGAGGCCGGAGCGGGCAAGAAACTCAGCATGCTGGGAGTCTGAAAGGGTCCATTATATTACAGAACGCAGCGATAATACCAGAGGATGCCATTATCATAATCCTGACACTAGAGAGAAATGGCAAGCGTATGGACGCTGTAACCCACTTATATGCGTGGGATGGGAGATGTGTGTAGGCCACAAGTGTTTATGGAGAGGAGATGAACAGTTAACATGGTATGAAATGTGAAATATTTTATATTGAAGTTATCAGCCCAACATAAATCATGGTCGCGTTCACTATTAAACACATGATAGTTCCATCAGGTCTTACCTAATCTGCCCAGCAGAGTTTGTGTGATGTCTTTGATGTCGTTGTATTCGTGCAGCAGGTCTATGTGTTGATCCAGCTCTTGTACAACAAATCCTCTACAAACACAAGAACAGAGTAACACAAGCTCAGTTTGGTCAGACAATAAATCACAATGAAGCACTTTCTTTTTTTAGCTAGTATAACAAGTAATTAACAACAAAGGACCAGATTATTTGAGATGCATTTTAGATATTTTGTATCGATTACTTTAAATGTATAGTTCACCCAAAATGAAATTCTGTCACAAATAATCACCGTTTTACTTCAAATGTGACTTTATTTCAAGTGTATTTTAAGTTACTTTAACCCTGTAAAGCCTGATATATGAAATAATATTCACAAAAATCTAAATTTTTGAAATGCAATGGTTTATTGAACATTACAAATATATATATAAAAAGTCAAACTTTTATGGCTCATACAGTATGATATAAGAGACTATGCAGCTCATTCTCAAGGAGGAAAAAAACACCTCAATTTTATTCAGAGGCACAAACTGAGCATTTTTAGTTGCTGATATTTAAATGGACAAAAAGTGAGATGAAATTCTGATAGCTTGTAATGTAAATTAATGAGTTCACTCTATATTTCACAATAATATGTCTTTGTAAGATGATATTTAAATGCTTAGTTTTATGATAAAAGCTCTGTAGTTTCAAAACATATGATGCAATGCAATACAATGATGATTGAGAGACGAACAAATAAACATTCCTTAAAAACCTGATGATCATATTTGATACTCACTGATTTTTCTAAAAAAAAAACGATGTTTGGATAATCAAGTAAACCTATGTTGCTTCAGTCCTGTAAGTGTTCATCTTCAAATATTACTATCACAGAAGTTATTCTTTATAAAAAGAATGTTTACTTTATAAAAGTCAGTAAAAAAAAAAATCACAACAAAAAGACACATGAACCACAAGCTGAAGGTGGACATTTTTAGAATAATACTAAAAAAGCCTTTTAACTTGCTAAAAAACTATGAATTATCAATCAGATGACAGAAGGCATGTAGTGGACTGTGAATAACAAGTTTCTCAGCCAAATTTTGATCATGTTAATAATATAGAGTTCTTAAAAATGTGCATATCCAGTGTAATATTGTAGGCTTATAATGGGTTAATAGTGCTGCTTTTGTTGGAATGGAAAAAAGTGACCAGGATATATAAATATATAAATAAATATATATATATATATATATAAATAAAATCATGCAGGTTTGGAGTGACATGAGGGTGAGTAAATGTTAAAGGGGTCATATGATGCGATTTCAAGTTTTCCTTTCTCTGTGGAGTGTTTTAAGATTACTTACAACAGAACAGCAATGCATTTTATGGACGAGCGTTTCGTGAACCTAGGAGAGGAGGTCATTCTGACTTTGCTATGACAATCTGGCGCTTCTGAATCAGCTACTGTTTTGTTATTAGTTTAAGAATTTGCTATTGACTTCAAATGCGGAGTTTTGCGCATCGTATACACAAAATAATGATCTTTAAAAAAGCATCATATGACCCCTTTAAAGTATGGGTAAATTATTCCTTTTAAAATGTTGCATATGACTGCTAAAGCAACTCTAATGGAAGCACTTGACATCTTCCACCTTAAACTGAGAAAAGATTTCTGAACCTAATATCCCATACTATCTTCAGTATGAACATCTAACAGCATAGTGTATCTCTTAAGCCCACATTCACTACCTACTCATTTTCCAGCAAGGCGATCTCTGAATTCAGCCGATCAAGTGTTTTCTTGAGCTCTTTGACTTCTTCCTCAGGGCACACTGGAGAGTTCACCATATTAGGCTTCTGAACCTATGGCAGACCACAGACAACTCACCACATATCAAGTATCATGCATGTTCTGTAGTTATCAAACTCCCATGAACAGTGCTTTGTAACAGGTCAGTGCATCATGTAACAGGCTACTCTGGTCAAATCACATGGGATGAATACAACAGTCCTCTGAATACACAGGACTCAATTAAAGGACTTTACGTACTGGAGATTTAAAACCTGAATTGACGCTCCTGGCGTTACATCTGGAATCCGGAGGTCTGTATGGAATAAACACACGTTGATATGCGTGTTTGAACAGGTTTGTATTGAGCATTTGCAGAGTTGCTGTATTTGTTTACCTTCTTCTTAAGGACAC